GGACTACAGAGGGCATAAGGTATGCTTTTGTGAGTGTCCGCTTTTGACTTTCCACTTTTTTTTTTTGAAATTACCGCCATTGTTTTGGGAAAAAGCATTTCTAGTTTGCACTGAAATTCCTTCAGATACCGGAACATTCCTCACTGGATGGTCAAATTACATGCGGCATATTTGAGAATGGCTGCTGTAGTGGCTCGTACACATTGACAATCAACGATGATGGCATAGAATTGTACGGTGAAGATTATACAGGCATGCGGCATGGATTTGCCACGCTCGTGCAAATACTCAGGATCCATAGCCAGGCATTTGAGGTACTGCTTGTCGTTCGACGCCTTTTTTAAGTAACAATCAATTGTAACTGTGCGTTTCGGTGGAGTAGATGAACGCAACTCGCTTTATTATGACATATCTGTTCGCTTGACTTTTGTGAGCTTTCTTCAGTTTTTACCGTAAGTGAGGGAACAGCTTTTGTTGAAGCGCCTTATCTGTAATTTAAGAAAGCGGCTGTGGATAATTGCTGAACTGTTTTTCAAAATTTAATAATTGTTCGAATTCCTCGCCCCCTCCATCCGCCAGCCAGTTTCGCGATTAAGAAGGAAACATCGGCCGCCAGCAGAAATTACGGTTGCTGAGAAAGCCAGCAGGAAGGTGGCAGAGTAAGTACCCTTTCCTCAGTCAGAAACTGAATTGTTAAGTGTGAGGAATTTTCGACATTCAGGAAGAGGTGAGGATGTGATTTTTTTTTCTTTTTCTGTGTTAACTTTTTGTTTTTTCAGGCAAATCCGACAACTCTGAAGACCGTGCATGAAACAGCAGCAGTTGAATCACTGGAGGGTCCCGCTGAAAAAACAAAACCAAACAGTAATTTTTTTTTTTTTTTTTGATTAATTTTCAAGCGCATCCAGTGAGAAATATAGTGTTCTCGGATGCGCAGCTTCAGCTTGCCACACATTTGTGGAGCATAGAGCTGTGAATGAACTTTTTAAAAATGTATTTTTCTAGTGGGAATACCATGCTTGACCATTCGCGACTCTCCAGATTTATGCTTCCGAGCTGTTTATCAGGACTTCAGTGGTTGCAAAATACTGAACACCGAAACTGTAAGCCTTTTGTTTTACGTAATATAAGGACACTGTTTTTGAAAAGAAAAATTCATAGATCGCTACTTTCTGTTACAGCTGTTGCAACTTGCCACTCGAATTGCTTATTGCAAGGCAAGCCACTTATTTGTCAATTTCGAAGTACGCACGACGGATCGTTATTTGTTGCCTTATACAAATCGGGATTTATTTCAAATGACTCAAGTTTGTGATGAACTTTATGTTAAGGTACGTTTCTTGCGTTGTTTAGTGGGCGACTTATAAATTAGGCGTTACTGGAGATAGATAGACGTGGCCAGGGGTGCATATTCTGAAGCACAGGGTATGTAGACAGATTTTTCTACGTGGACTGCTCAAGCAGCCATGGTAACTGGCGCAAAGTAGCTAAAGTAAGCTGTTTTATCTTTAACTGTGAAAAAAATTCAGATGCTTTTTTTACATAGGCCCCATTATGTTCGTCGAATATAAACCGCAGTCACCGTAATTTTTGATAATAAGCTTGCGAACAATGCAAAAGAAATTTGGAATCCAAAAAAAAAAAAAAATTTGTACGGGGGAAATCAAGTGGTTGAAGAACGCGTATTGCTCCTCATTCGACGTGGGTTACGAGAAACAGTCGATTGATTAGTTCAGATGAACTCCCGGACAGCTACGCTTAATTAAGACGAACAATGTGGATGAATTACGATTGGATATGAAACGAAGCAGAGAAAAAGAGCAGCATGGATAACGGAGTTACAAGATCTCTTTTTCGGCCCTGAGGTGGCATTGACTGTGATTGTGTGGATACTTTCCGGTACCTGTGTATTAGCAATTTTGTGATATGGGAATGAAACATGGAATATCACTCTTGGGATGAAGCAGTAAGCGACGACCGAACGAGAGCCATCGTTTCAGGTCCCATAAGCATCAGTAAATTATAGCTGATCGCTATGCTGAGGTTCCGGTTTCGTGCGAGCACTGTTATCAAGCCAGCGGAAGAAAAGAGTTGGCCTGGTTATGTGTAGAAAATGAAAGGAATCATACATGAGAAATATGCATCGTAATATAATAGATGTATAGTGGCAGTTACTAAACGAGCACAGAAGAAGCTACCAGTTAGATGGAAGATATTGCTGGCACGCTTATATGGTAATGGTAATAAGTGGATGTGCCAAATTCACACTGACCAAAGCAGAAAGTTGATGCTTCTTCCGTAATAAAAAACAACGCGATGTTGAAAGGCAGCAACTGTATTTTCGAATCATTGACTTTAGTTGAAAGTAATGGAATTTCTTGCATTACTTTGGAAAAAATGTAAGTTTTCAAACAGAGAAGAGGGGGTTTTTTTTAAGCTGGTACCATCGCTGGATGTGCAAGCAAGCTATATTGAGCCATATGTGCTGCGCCGCGTTCTTGAATGTTTTATGGATGATTTTCCCCTTACAAAAGTTGTGCATTTTGGCCCAAATTTGGCAAATGTGCTTATTTCAAATCGTGATATCCTCAACAGTGTGCAGACACGAGTTCCAAGAATATACCTCTCGCTGGAAATTAATGAGAACAATGCCTCAATGGTAAGTTTACATTTTGGTGATTCGCAAGCATATTTTTATTTGCGCTTTTTAAATCTGCATTGCTTTTGCTCAATTTGATTTTGCGCTGTTCCAGGTCAATCAACTGCCACCTTTTGTCACGCTTTGTGTGGAGGGCCGGTATCCATTTGAAGCAGAGAATTTGCTTTCGCCGCGACTCAATGTTGTCCTGCGATTTTCAACAAGCGATCCGGGTTTTCTTTGTGCTGCCCCGGAATCGATCGCTAAAAAAGCTGTATTGGCTACCAAGTTGGGCGACAAATTTCCTGTACTAGGTTATTTATTACAATTTTTCTTTTGCCAATTGTTTGATGTATGCTGGTGCGTTTGCATAGTGATAAGTGACGGTACGCTCAGGTGCGCAGGTAGGGGGAAATGTAATGACAGGGAGGTCGGAAACGCCATCAGCTTGATTCTAAGCTTTCGT